GGGGGGGTAAAATTTTGTTTCTGCCCTTATCATGCGAACGCGACTTCAAAGCTTAAAAAGACATAAGAACGAAAAGTGAAGCTTCTCAAGACAAAAATAATGACATATCAATTTTAAAAATCGGCCGTCAAATAACCAAGTTACAACGAAAAAACCATTTCGGCTGTATTTCGGAGGGTTAAAAAAAAAAAAAAAAATTTTTCCAGAACCCTCTCAACATAATCTTTAAATTTAGGGGCGGACATTAGCAACTTTTTTTTTCGACCCAGTCTAATGTACATACGTCTGCCCGGCATACATTTGCATGCAAGCAATACGTTCTTATGTATGTATTTCAAAGCTCATGGCCAAGAGCAGATAATCATCTGCAACCCAAGAAACAACTCTTTTAATAGCATACATACATACAGATATCTATACGAAAGTGTACATTTGTAACATGTATGTATGTATGTATGTTTGTCCATACAGAGTGTTACAAAAGCGTTGCAGTGTTGTTTGGGCTAGCGTTGGTTGCTATGACGGCGATGATGGCGGCCTATTTTGCAACATCATCAGTATTTTCCGTTAAAAATAAAACTAAAGCATGCCTCTCACATGGTTAGTACATTTCCTTCAACAGGGCGTTATGTATGTCGGTGTAATCATTTTCTGTCCCGAACTAGACCTAAATTCTATAGTTCCGAACCAATTCTAAAATCGACATACGAAAGAAAAAATTAGCATGATTATTCAATCTTTTTAGTTCTTCTGTGTGTGCGCTTTAAATTATTTTCAAAGAAATGTGTTTCCAATTTGAAATTAAATTTGTTTGAATGATTGTATGGTTCCGAACCAGTTCTAAATTCGTCAACTTAGTTATAGATTTCTTATGTAGAGAATGAAATAAAATAGTTTTTTAAAAGTACCATATTTCGCTGATTTTGAACTGGTGGGGATCTACTTATTATCGGACTGGTTCGTTTTTGGTAATCAAGATCTAGTACGGAACCACTAGTTCGCGGTTTCCTTGCACGGTATCTATATGTACACCTGCGTTCAACTAATTAGAAACAAAATTCAAAATGATATTGTTTGCAAATTATGTTTATTTTTTATTTTTAATAATTTTCATTTATATTTCAATCATTTCATAGTTCAATCTGTAACAGAAATCACAATAATAAAAGTTTCAAAGCTTGCAAAAATTGAAAAAATAAATAAATAAACAAACTCCAAAAAATTGTCATCAAAATTTCCAAATTTTTAATCAGAATATTTAGAAAATTTTCGGGTATGTATTTCTGTAGCCCATCAATTGTAGACTAAGAGAGTGCAAGTCTCAAGTCGTTAAAAATTACCGTTGATTTTTTAGATTTTTTTTTTTGTGGAGGGTGTTGCGGATTTTTTCATATAAAAAAATTCGATCATGTGTTATATGGAAAAAAATACCTGGGTTATCTGTTTAGAAATTTCAGTTCAAATTATTTAATAAGTTGAATAAATTATTAAAATATGGGTATCAATCGAAGGAGGTTTGAAAAATTTTTAAAAATATACTTTAGGGGGGG